AAGCAGAGGGGCTTCCCCCGCATTCAGCCCCGCAGTGGGGCTGTCTCTTGGATCCTAATAGCACGTACACATTTCTTACCAAGGGCCAAGGTGCCGCTCAGTCTGCACCCACTTAACTAGTAACAGTAAAGGCTGTAGCTGATCAGAGTTAGGTGTGGCCTTTCCAAAATGCACACCATGAATTGGAGCCAAGTTCCCGGCCTCCTGTTTGGCCCTGCATGGTAGCAGGCAAGGCCTTTTAGCCGTTGGGTGTTGGGCCTTTAACTGGCGGTGGCCGACAGCCCCTGGGCCTCTGGGCTGTGGGCAAGGCTGGGGAGAAAGCCAGGCCACGCGGGGCAAAAGCCACCCCAGCTCAGGGCCACCTCCGCTCTGCCGTGCACACGCTGGGTGGGATCCTGGAGAATCGCTTTCCCCGCCGGCCGCAGCTGCAAGATGGTCACTTACCATCCGCTGCCTTGCAGGGAGGTTAGGCTGAGATGATAGAGACCCCGGGAAAGTGCCTGCGTGGTGCCAGCACGTTAAAGCCCTTTACAGAGATCCAGTCCCTTCTCCCCATGCACGGGGTGAACGGGAAGGAAAAAAGATGGGAGTGAGGCTGGGTCTTTGGAGTTTTGATTGAGGGGCAGAGCACGGTGGAGCTGATGTATGCAAATAGTCATTACATGTTGTTTAAAAAGAAATCAACCCCATGAACCAGATCATGGTTCTATTCCCAGTCAGGTCACATGTCCGCGTTGCAGGCTCGACCCCAGTAGGGGGTGTGCAAGAGGCAGCCGATGGACATTTCTCTCTCTCATCCATGTTTCTCTCTCTCCCTCTCTCTCTTTCTCTCTAATGAAAATAAATCAACCAAAGAGCGTCAGGGTGATGAGGAAGGGAGGTGTCCTGGGGGTGATGCCGCAGACGGCGTCTCCATGGCTCCCGGCCGTGGCTCCAGGCCTCTGAGCCTGTGAGAAGCTGGGGACACCCACAAGGCCTGGAGCGCCATTGATCGTCTGCCCCGGCGTCAGTGCCCTGGCTTAGATACTCCGGGGCGTACGTGCTCGCTGCTTTTCAGCTTCTTGTGAATCTTAATGGTTCCTCAATGAAAAAGGTCGGGCTGTTTGTTTCCAAGAGAACTCGGTGGCCACAGTGGGGAAACGGGCAGGTCTCGGGATGGTTTCTAAAGGAAGCGGTGCGGCAGGATCAGCTCTCTGCATCCCTCACATACGACGTTAGCTGCCACTTAGTGGCTGGCTCCCGGTGCTGCCTACGTGGCCCATTGGGTGTCCGCCTGCCGTGGCCACTCTTGGGGTTCAAGCTAGTATTCTCTGCGACCGCCACCAGGAGGTCAGAGTGCGGTGACCCCTGTTTATCCCTGAGGAGCCTGAGGCCTGGCAGGGGCAGGACTTGCCCAAGGCCACGGCCCAGGGAGCCCAGAGGGGCAGCCGGGTGTGCAGGGGGACTTTCTGGCTCCACCGTATTACACAGCACATGCTGTCTGCTGCTCTGAATGTCACTGAGAAGATGAACGTTATAACGTTGCTCCTTATCTATCTGGACATCGGGGAACACGAGGTCCTTCCTGCGCGGCCTCCTTGTAGGACGCGTACCTTCCTCTTCCATTTGTCCAGAAGGGACATGTGATGGCTCTCTGCAGCTCTCTGGGGCTTGGGGCTCAGGGCGCCCGGCCTCGTGTGGTCCGCAGCTCCCGGCCGCACTTGGAGGCTCTAGAGCAGCGGTTCTCAACCTGTGGATTGCGACCCCTTTGGCGGCCGCAGCTGCAAGATGGTCACTTACCATCCGCTGCCTTGCAGGGAGGTTAGGCTGAGATGATAGAGACCCCGGGAAAGTGCCTGCGTGGTGCCAGCACGTTAAAGCCCTTTACAGAGATCCAGTCCCTTCTCCCCATGCACGGGGTGAACGGGAAGGAAAAAAGATGGGAGTGAGGCTGGGTCTTTGGAGTTTTGATTGAGGGGCAGAGCACGGTGGAGCTGATGTATGCAAATAGTCATTACATGTTGTTTAAAAAGAAATCAACCCCATGAACCAGATCATGGTTCTATTCCCAGTCAGGTCACATGTCCGCGTTGCAGGCTCGACCCCAGTAGGGGGTGTGCAAGAGGCAGCCGATGGACATTTCTCTCTCTCATCCATGTTTCTCTCTCTCCCTCTCTCTCTTTCTCTCTAATGAAAATAAATCAACCAAAGAGCGTCAGGGTGATGAGGAAGGGAGGTGTCCTGGGGGTGATGCCGCAGACGGCGTCTCCATGGCTCCCGGCCGTGGCTCCAGGCCTCTGAGCCTGTGAGAAGCTGGGGACACCCACAAGGCCTGGAGCGCCATTGATCGTCTGCCCCGGCGTCAGTGCCCTGGCTTAGATACTCCGGGGCGTACGTGCTCGCTGCTTTTCAGCTTCTTGTGAATCTTAATGGTTCCTCAATGAAAAAGGTCGGGCTGTTTGTTTCCAAGAGAACTCGGTGGCCACAGTGGGGAAACGGGCAGGTCTCGGGATGGTTTCTAAAGGAAGCGGTGCCGGCAGGATCAGCTCTCTGCATCCCTCACATACAACGTTAGCTGCCACTTAGTGGCTGGCTCCCAGTGCTGCCTACGTGGCCCATTGGGTGTCCGCCTGCCGTGGCCACTCTTGGGGTTCAAGCTAGTATTCTCTGCGACCGCCACCAGGAGGTCAGAGTGCGGTGACCCCTGTTTATCCCTGAGGAGCCTGCGGCCTGGCAGGGGCAGGACTTGCCCAAGGCCACGGCCAGGAAGCCCAGAGGGGGCAGCCAGGTGTGCAGGGGGACTTTCTGCCTCCCCCATATTACACAGCACATGCTGTCTGCTGCTCTGAATGTCACTGAGAAGATGAACATTATAACGTTGCTCCTTATCTATCTGGACATCGGGGAACACGAGGTCCTTCCTGCGCGGCCTCCTTGTAGGACGCGTACCTTCCTCTTCCATTTGTCCAGAAGGGACATGTGATGGCTCTCTGCAGCTCTCTGGGGCTTGGGGCTCAGGGCGCCCGGCCTCGTGTGGTCCGCAGCTCCCGGCCGCACTTGGAGGCTCTAGAGCAGCGGTTCTCAACCTGTGGGTCGCAACCCCTTTGGCGGTCGAATGACCCTTTCACAGGGGTCGCCTAAGACCATCCTGCATATCAGATATTTACATGACGATTCATAACAGTAGCAACATTACAGTTATGAAGTAGCAACGAAAATAATTTTATGGTTGGGTCACAACATGAGGAACTGTATTTAAAGGGCCAGAAGGTTGAGAACCACTGCAGAGGCTGCTGCGTGCTGACCCCCGTCAGTGGTTCTCTTTGCTGAGCTGCTGGGGCCGCCCGCTGCTTTCCCACAGGTACGGCGTGGCGGTGCAGGACTTCGCGGGCAGCTGGAGGAGTGGGCTGGCGTTCCTGGCTGTGATCAAGGCCATCGACCCCAGCCTGGTGGACATGAAGGCGGCCCTGGAGGACTCCATGCTGGAGAACCTGGAGAAGGCTTTCCGCATCGCGCACGACGCCCTCCACATCCCCAGGCTCCTGGAGCCGGAAGGTAGCGGCGGCTCTCGCGCTCTCTTCCTTCTTAATGATTCCCATTGCCTGTGTCGCACGTGCTGTCCGGGTAGAAAATACAGAAAAACCCAATGACGACGTTTTTTATAACGCCCACATTCCTACCGCTGAGCTCATGTCTCCAGCGCTTTTCTATGCACTTAATTACATTTTTTAAAAACATAATGGGATCATGCCGTGTATGCATGGTTTTGTCTCTCCTTTTTTTTACTTAGCATTTTACTTTTGGCGTAAGTGTTTTGCATGGGGCTAGCGTGTCTTCACTACCTATTTCTATTGGGCATCGCGACGTTTCCGAGGCTCTCCGGCCACTGGCGCGCTGGGCTGCTGGAGCCGGAAGGTAGCGGCGGCTCTCTCGCTCTCTTCCTTCTTAATGATTCCCATTGCCTGCGTCGCACATGCTGTCCGGGTAGAAAATACAGAAAAACCCAATGACGACGTTTTTTATAACGCCCACATTCCTACCGCTGAGCTCATGTCTCCAGCGCTTTTCTATGCACTTAATTACATTTTTTAAAAACATAATGGGATCATGCCGTGTATGCATGGTTTTGTCTCTCCTTTTTTTTACTTAGCATTTTACTTTTGGCGTAAGTGTTTTGCATGGGGCTAGCGTGTCTTCACTACCTATTTCTATTGGGCATCGCGACGTTTCCGAGGCTCTCCGGCCACTGGCGCGCTGGGCCGCTGCAGAAACAGTCCTGTCTGCATCTCATTGAGCATCTCACTGAAGGAGCCCAGGGCCTCCCAATTACCCTCAGGACCAGTCCCATCCGGATAGCGACAGGTTGGGAAGGACGCGCCCCTCCAAGGCACTTGGCTCTCACTGTCAGATGGGCTTCCAGTGGGCCAGGCTAGTGTGGGGCTCCCCCAGCAGCGAGGAAGGCCCTGGGTCGCCGGACCCGCTGACAGGCTGCAGGGAGCTGGCGGCTCACAGTGGCGGGACGGAGAGGAGTAATGGATGACCTTGGGAATAAGGAGTCCTGGGTTCTACACTCGGGCCCCCCATTCACCAGCCTGCAGTCCAGTAAGTGTGAGGCTCGGGGCTCAGGGCGCCCGAGTAAGATTGCCCCTCTCGGCCTGATTTCCCTCCATGTGAGACGGGAAAAACCGCGGCGGCCAGGGGGTCTCACACCAGGCGTTCCGCGGGCCTCTTTAAAGACCGCGTGTTCACGTGTCCTAACGCCCGTGTCTCTCTTAACAGACATCATGGTTGACACGCCGGACGAGCAGTCTATCGTGACTTACGTGGCACAGTTTCTAGAACATTTCCCGGAGCTGGAAGCCGTATGTTGGTTTTCCTTGCCTTTAATTCTGAAACTGCATTTCCACCCACTGAAGCTGGGGCTTGGGCTGTGTTGTTCGAGGAGGGGGAGTCATCAAAATTTGATCTCGAGTGCCTTGAGCGTTGCCCTGCCCCACGTTAATTTCAAAATCACGTATGACGTGTATCATGTGAAAAGCAGGACGGGAAGTTAGGCAGCCATGCCTCTCGCAAACCTCTTCACATACCAAACTGTATTAAGGTTATAAAAGATGCTCGCATGTAATATGGGTAACCTACTTGATTTTTTAGATGTCAGATAGAACATTTTAGCAGTCTGCCAGATTTTATCAGAGTGTGAAAATTTATAAAAGGCAGTGTTCAAAACACACCTTTAACAATTTTTTAAAATGTATTTTTATGAATTTTGGAGAGGAAAGGAGAGGAAAAGAGAGATAGAAATATCAATGACAAGAGAGAATCATTGATGGGCTGCCTTCTGCATGCCCCCTACTGGGGATCAAGCCTACAACCCGGGCATGTTCCCTTGACCAGAATCGAACCTGGGACCTTCAGTCCACAGACCAACACTCTATCCACTGAGCCAAACCAGCTAGGGCTGTTATTATTTTTATAATAATACAATGTAGTATAGTCTAATATATTAAACTAGAGGCTCGGTGCATGAATTTGTGCATGGGTGGGGTCCCTTGGGCTGGCTGGCGATCAGGGCCATCAGGGCCAGCCAGCTGGGGGGAGGTTGGCCAGCTGCAGGAGGTTGGCTGTGGGAGCGCGCTGACCACCAATGCAGAGGGAAGCTCCTGGTGGTCAGTGTGCATCATAGCTACCGGCCAGTCATCCAGTCATCTGGTTGTAATGGTCGCTTAGGCTTTTATATATATAGATTGTGTAGCTGTATACATTATACAATATCTATATATATAAAAGCCCAAGCAACCGTTCAACAGGTAGCTCTGTTGCTCACTGACCACCAGGGGGCAGATGCTCAATGTATAGGCATGGAAACACGGAACAGACTGATGAACCTCAGAGGGAAGAAGGTGGGGGGAGGGCGGGAAGAGATTAACCAAAGATCTTATATGTATACTAGAGGCCCGGTGCATGCATTTGTGCACCCGTGGGCTCCCTCAGCCTGGCCTGTGGGGATTGGCCCGAAACTGGCAGTCCGACATCCCCCGAGGGGTTCCAGATTGTGAGAGGGCGCAGGCCAGGCCAAGGGACCCCACCAGTGCTCGAATCTGTGCACCGGGCCTCTAGTATGATATAATAATATTTTGTAAATTTCCTAGTCCATGACTAACCTCGGGGATACTTAGCCCTGAGCCCTTAAGATGTAGGCAAAGTTTGAAATCAACTCAAACTTACGGTGTTTGTAGGGGTCACAGCCAGGATTCAGCAGTTCTGACAGTTGGGTCTCCCCAGTGCTGCAGACGGGGCAGGGGAAGGAGAGGTGGAGCAAGATGGGACCTGAGAAAGTCCCCCTGAGTCCCAGATCATAGTGCGTCACCACAGAACAGTCCATATACATCCCCAGGGGACGACAGACGACGAGTCCCAGCTAATCTAGGCACCATCGAACTGTTCCTTGACAGTTCAGCTGAGTTTAGTTCATTTCAACAGACATTCTTTAAGCCCTAGCCATCCGTGTACCAGACACTGTGCCCAGCTTGCTGTCCCCGTATATGGTTTATTTTGGTTAAGTGTACCATATGCACTTGAAAAGAATGTGTCCTATGCACGGAAAGAATTAACATTCTTTAAGTATCGATTAGGTCAGGTTGGTTAATGTGCTGTTCTCACATTCTATAGGCATACTGCTATTTTTTCTTCTTTTCCTATCAGTGAGTGTGAGAGAGAAATGTTTAAAATCTCCAACTCATGGTTGTGGCTTTGTTTTTCTTAGCTCTGTCAGTCTTTGCTGTGTGTATGCCGAAGCCATGCTATAAACGCATACACATTTAGGATGGTTGTATCATCCTGGTGACTCTGTGGTTGCAGTTTTATGCAGGTTCTTTCTTTCTCTTGCAGGGTACTTTGTCTGATAGAAATATGTAGCCATAGCGGCTTTCTCATGCTGTTTGCATGATATGTCTTTTTCCTTCTCTTTCTTTGCAGTGTGTGTGCTAATATTTAAGCACATCTCTTATAAACAGTTTATAGTCAGGTCTTGCTTTCTGTCCATTCTGACAAGAATTAGCATGTCATTTAACTAGTGTGTTTTTCGGCCATTTACAGAGATTTCATCTACCATCTTGACTGTTGTTTTCCACTGGTCCTGCCTGCGCTCTGCTCCTTTGTTCTTCCTGCCTAACCTTTTTTGGATGATCCAATTATTCTTTTGTTTCCGTTTTAGCTCCACTGTGGGCTTTTTAGCTACATCTCCTTGTTTTATCTTCTTAGTAGTTGTTCTAGGGGTTATAATACTCATCTTGAACATACCTCAGTCTACGTTGAATTCCTATTATAACAGTTCTAGTAAAATGGATTTTTAATATATTTTATATATGTAAACATTTAATTCCACTCACTTCCTCTCCATTCCTTTGTGCTACTACTGTCATTTACCTCACTTCTCCATATTCTAATCCCAATACTTTGTCACATTTTTGCTTTAAATAGTTAGGGGGCTTTTTAAGAAAACTTTTTAGTTTTTTTATATTGACCCTGTATTTACTATTTCAGGCACTTTCCATTCCCTCCTTCAGATCCTGGCTTCCCTCCATGATCATTTCTCTTCAGCCCAAAGAACTGCCTGTGTATTTCTTGTAGCATAGGTTAAATAGTTATTTCAGCATCTTTATCTGCTAGTTCTAACCCTGGCTCATATATGGGTCTACTTCTAATGACGGTTGTTTCTCTCCTTTATGGGTCTCATTCCCCTGCTTCTTGGCATCTTAACATTGTTTCTTTTATGTCAGACCTAGTGTATAAATGAACATTCCCTCCCTCTCCCCCACCCCCCAAGAATGTAGTCCTTCCCTAAACAAGGATTTACAATGAGGAACTAATCGTTTTGGCCTTCCCAGGACTCAATAAGGGATATGGTGCAAGTTTTATTTAATTTTGGCTTTCTGGTTTCACATCATTTTAAGATGAGGTCAACACACCGATTCCACCAGTGCACCGGGTGCCAACCACGGCAATACCCCAAGGTTGCTCTCTGCTTTGCAGCCCTGCCCACAGCTGTTTCTTACTCAGCAAATGTCCCCGTGTGGGAGACTTATCATACTGTCAGGAGATTTGGTTTTGCATTTGGGGTCCTTTTAGATTCATACCTGCCCACACAATCAGTGAAGGCTGGGCTGATCCTTCCTTATCTCAGGTGGGTCAGCGCTCCTCCTGTCCGTCCCCAGACTAGGCAGTGGCCACCGAAGCTGACAGTCACCTGTCCTGTGTGGCTCAGAGGTTGAACGTCAACCTTGGAACAGGAGGTCACGGTTCAATTCCCGGTCAGGGCAATGCCGGGGTTGTGGGTTCAATCCCCAGTGGGGGGTGTGCAGGAGGCAGCTGATCAGTGATTCTCTCACATCAATGATGAGAGAGAATCATTGATCTATCTCTCTCTCCCTCTCCCTGAAATCAATAAAAATATATTGGGGAAAAAAAGCTGAAAATCTCTGCTCACTTAGAAGGGCTCATCCTACTTACAGTTTAGTGCATTGAGATTTCTTTGTATCCAGAGCTGGGAAATGCAGTCTTTGTGAAATACTTTGACAGAAACGGTAGTCCTCGGCAACCATCTGCGCGTTAGTTACAACACTGAGCGTTCGCTCCGAAGCCACCTTCCTGCTCTGGGCTTTGCCCTTTGAGAGGGGGATACGTTGTACTTCAAGGCGCTGCTGACATCCTGTTGCCCTGTGTTTCTCCGCAGGAGGATTTTGTGGATCCAGATAAAGACGCCCCTATCGAGTCCACCTTCGTCCGCATTAAAGAAACGCCCTCGGAGCAGGAGAGCACCGTCTTCTATGTGACTGACGACGGGGAGCGGGCCTACACCGTCAACCACGACACCAGCCACCCGCCCCCCTCCAAGGTCTTTGTCTGTGACAAGCCCGCGCGCGGGAAGGACTCCCGCCCGGGTGGCGCTCCTGGCCCCACACCAACAAACAGCCCCGCCGAGGTCACACCACAGGGCACGGACTGGGACACCCTCGGGGCCTCCGGCAGGACCTGCAGCCTCAGCGAGCCGCCTCCAGAATCTTCCATCTTATCCAGAAAGGACAACCAGAGGTCCAGCTCCCTGCCGGGCAAGAAAACGGTGCACTTTGAGGCGGACGTCTACAAGGACGCCTCCTGCAGCAAGGACCCCGTCCACAGCCAAGACTGCGGCTTCGAAGGCGGCCCTCGGGGGACCAAGGACTTGTGGAAGCAGGATGGGCACAGCCCGGAGGTCGCCGAGGAAAGGCCGGAGGCAGCCCCGGACCAGGCCCTGGGCGATGTCTGCCTGGCGGACAGTCAGACCGGCCCTTCTCAGACTCCCCAGGGCTCTGCCCCCCGGAACAGGGCCTCGGAGCGGCCGGCCAGCCCCGGCGAGGAGAGCTGCCCCCGGGCGCGCCTCGGAGAGGAGACCGTGATGGCCGATTCCTCGGAGCTCAAGGTGAAGCTGCAGACCGTAGAGGCGATGGACGAGGAAGACGATTTCGAAGGCATACCCCTGAAAGCCTCTAAATTTAACAGTGACCTCGTCGATTTTGCCTCCACCAGCCAGGCTTTCGGCGAGGACCCCCCGCCTGCGGAGGACGGGCCCGGGGAGGCCGAGGCTGCGGAGGAGCAGGCCGAGAACCTGGGGAACGGGAGAAGCACGTCCGCCCCCAGGATGGAAGGTGCGGACGAGCCCCCGGGGAAGCCTGGACACGAAGACCACAGCCGTGTGGTGGCCCCACAGGAGGAGCCGGGGGGCAGGAAGCCAGAGGTGTATGAAAAGGCGAAGCGCAAGTCCCCGCGGCCCCCGCGCGGGGAGGAGGAAGCCGAGGCCGAGGACCCCCCGGCGTTTGAGGGGGACTTGCCCTCCAACCCGCCCAGCAGCCAAGTCAGCCTGGAGACCCTGGGCAGCCACAGCGAGGAGGGCCTGGACTTCAAGCGCTCCCCGCCCCTCTCCAAGGTCTCGGTCATCCCGCACGACCTCTTCTACTACCCGCACTACGAGGTGCCCCTGGCCGCCGTCCTGGAGGCGTACGCGGAAGGCCAGGAGGATTTTAAAGCTGAAGATGCGGACTTTGAAGACCCGGAGGACTACCTGTCTGACCTGGAGCAAAGGGAGGACGAGGACGAGCCCGAGGCCTCCGAGAGCAGCAGCAGCTTCGGGGGCCTGGGCGAGGACCTCCCCCAGCCCCCCACCCAGGAGCCCGACCGGTACCAGGGGGCACAGGGGGCCAAGCCAGCCTCGGGCCCTCCCCCCGCCCTGGCCCCAGAGGACCACCAGCAGAGGGAGGCCACAGCCCGCGCCCCTGGGGAGAGCCAGCAGGTAGGGGCTGCCCCCCGGGAGTTCCGCCTCCAGAGCTCAGCTCCTGCCCTGGCACAGCCTCCCTCCCAGGGCCCCGCCAGTCTCGCGGGCTGTAGGGTCTCTCCCAGGAGAGGTGCGCGTTTGCGATTCAGGTTTGGGCTCTGGAGACCCCCTGACAGGGCCTGCAGTCGGGAGACGAAGGTGTGTTTTGCATGGTAGTTCGGGGTGAAAGGTGAAGGTAGGGTGCACTGAACCCCAAGATAGATGACGATGCTCTGGCTCACGCAGTGGAGGGGTGGAGGAATGAGCCGGCTTGCTGCTGGGAGGCCGAAGGAGGAGGGGGTCCGAGCAGCCTTAGGAGGCACTTGGCGTTTAGGCCAGCGTGGTCACTTGTGCTTATCGATTTGCCAGCTCTGGACAGGGGTGCGCAGCTCCCAGGAGCGCGGTGGGAGCTCCTATTGCCTTGGGAGTGGGGGGCACTCACTCTGTCCATCTTGGGATGGAGAAGAGGGCTGGATGGGTCCCCAGGGGCCCACTGCCATCTTCCCGTTTGCCCCCACGTGAAGGGACCTGACCCCGGTCCTCCACCCATCCTACCTGCTGTCTGCGGGCTTATGGGAGGCCAGCCCTGTCCCAGAGGGCTCTTCCTGCCAGAAACCCCAAGATCCAGGGGTTAGAAATGTCCCTCAGTGAGCTCAGGTCTTGGGGTCCTCAGACTGGGGGGCCGTGACAGCAAATGGGGCTATTCTCTGGGTGGTTATGGGCCAAAAATCTCTCTTAGGACAAAAGACAGGGGACCGAGTGTTGGTGGGAAGAAAGCCCGTGTTGCCCCTCTGCCCCTCTGTGATACTTGAAATGGCAAATTAGGGGCTCAATCCCCTTCCCCCTGCCCCCGGCTGGCTGAACGTGGCCTATGGAATCGCAGATGAGGCGCTTCGATCTCCTCCGCTTTCCATGCGGTCATTGCCAAAAGTAGGCTGCACACCTACTCGTGTGCCCAGCCAGTGGCCGGGTGATTTGGGGTGGGGCTGAGGAGCTCTGGGCTGGGAATGGAACCAGAACCTAGACAGGAACTCTGATACTGAGCCGGGTCTGCCCTCTCGGCCCTGATCTGCCCCCTCTGGCTCTCACCTGTCCACCGAGCAGTGCCCACTGCACTCCAGCCCACCTTGTTGTTGGCCCTGAGTGTAGCCCTGGCCTTGATCCCTGTGGGTCCGCCGAGGGAGGGGGTGCAGCTCGGAGTGGCAGGGGAGGCCTGTGAGCCTTGCCTCTGGGCAGCCAGGACAGCACAGGAGGGAGCATCTCTCTGATACCTGGCCCTCCTTGAAAAAAGGAAAATATGCCTTCAAAAGAGACCAGAAAATGGCAGGTTCTTCTAGTTTTTTTAAAAAAAGGTGTCTCCTCGTTTCACCTCTCAGAAAAAGTACCACTGATGACGGAGGAGGGGCTGGAATTTCAGTTGCCGAGGGCGGTTTACTCTCTGCACAGAGCATTGTTCTGTGGCTGCGCAGGCCGGCAGCTCAGTCCTTAGTCCACCTCCTGTGGAGCAGGTTCCTCCGGCCCCGAAGGAATTCTCGAGACACTGCTCCAACCATTCCCACGCTTCTTGGTTTCACTCGCGAGCATTGCCAACAGGTTTCAGAGTGTTGGCTGTAGACACGGCTCAAAGAACGTTCCTTATCCAGTAAGCGTGAGAGGTGCCCTATAATCCATCTCCGGCCGAGGGCACAGGGAAGGGTCCTCCCACCAGCTGTACGTTTGTCTGTGTGTGCACTTCTCCAAACTCAGGCGACCTTGCACCCTTGGGCCCCTCTGGCTTCCAGGAGTCGTTTCTCTGTTTAAGCGGCTGATGGTTGTGTGACGGGTCCAACCATTGCCCGTTGTGAGGGGCATCCTTTATAGGAAGCACAATCATGTTGTGGGAAGAGGTTGATCATTATTATACCCACTAGAGGCCTGGTGCACGAAATTTGTGTATGGGGAGGGGGGTGGTCCCTTCAGCCCAGCCTGCATCCTCTCCAATCTGGGACCCCTCGGGGGATGTCCGACTGCCGGTTTAGGCCTGATCCCCAGGGACATCCCTCTCACAATTCTGGACCACTGGCTCCTAATCACTAACCTGCCTGCCTGGTTGACTCTAACTGTCCCGCCACCGTCGGCCTGATCGTCCCTCGCTGCCTGTATGTGCCTACCTGATCTCCCCTAACTGCCCCCTCTGCTGGCCTGGTTGCCTCTCACTGCCCCCCCTGCCAGCCTAATCGCCCCCAACTGCACTCCTGCACACACACACACACACACACCCCGCTGGCCTGGTCGCCCCCAACTGCCCCTTCCTCTGCCAGCCTGGTAGCCTCTTACTGCCCCCCCTGCTGGCCTGGTCACCCCCAACTGCCCCCTCTGCCAGCCTGGTCACCCCTCATGGCACCCCCGCCAGCCTGGTTGCCCCACACAGCCTGTTTGTTCAGTCGTTTGGTCATCCCTCACTAACCCCCTGCCGGCCTGGTTGTAGGCAGCCATCTTGTGTGGGTGTGAGGGTCAATTTGCATATTACCTCTTTATTAGATAGGATTTGACAGACAAGGAAACTGAGGGTCAGAGAGATAAAGTCAGTCACTCCAGGTCAGAGAGCTGACTTGGTCAGGGTTTTAAACTAGAGTCTGCGGACTCTAGACCTCCTGCCATTTCACCACACCTGTCGGGAGCATTTGAACTCTGCACTGGGGACAGGAGTTCGGATGGGCCCCTCTTCCCCAGCAGGCTGTGCTGGAGGGAATCCGTGGGAGAGGCAGAGAGAGAGGGAGGCCCCCTCTGGGCCTTGGATCCAGGTGCGGGATGGTGTCACCCACTCGGTATCTCAGCATGAAATGCTGACTTATATTTGGTTGTCTTGTCCTTAAGTCCCAGGAATCCCCAAACTCAGAAAACTTAAGAAACCCTTTAGAAGAAAAAGTGATGGAAGAATCGGTCAGCAGCAAGAAAAAGGAAAAAAAGAAGCATGTGGACGACGTAGAAAGTTCAATATTGCTCACCCCCGGGGCTGCGCGGTCCTCCGACGACCTGGACGAAGACCCTGGCTTCCACAGAGTCCCTTCCAGGTACTGTGTCGCCGTCTCCTCACCCCAGAGACCCAGCGAGAGAGAGAGGGTCTCTTTGAACCCAGCACATTGTTAGTTTCTGACGTGACGGGGTTGGGGGGTGGGACTGGCAGCAAAGGAAACTTTGTAAGAAGGTTCTTCCGATTCATACCGAGTTCGTCTGGCCAGGTGGCCGTCTGCCATAATCAGAAACTGACTCCCCAGCTCTCCACCTGGGTCCCCGCCGGCCCTCACCGTCACCAGACCTGCTGACGAAGCAGCACAGCGGGAAGACGGGAGCCTGCCCCCGCCTCCTCCGGGTCCCGTGGGGGAAGAGCAGTGAGCAGGGACGTGGCTGGGCCGCGGGGAGGTGTGGGGTGTGCCGAGCAATGGCCGGCCCGGCCCGCGGGTGACCGCAGGTTGCGCAGTTAGAAATGGGACGTAGCTGACGATCAGCGTCCTCCAGACTCGGGAGGGCTGAGCCGCCTGGGGCCGGAGGGGACCCTTCACAGCTGTCACATGGAATTTGGACTTTAACACTATGGCTTCGCCCGGGAGTTTGGTTCTAAAGAGCTCAGGATGGTTCCTTTATGTCAGGGAGGATCATGAACTTGAACTGATCGGCACGAGGTGTGTAGCGCATCTACTCTGTCACTCCAGGGCCACCAGGTGGGCCGGATTTGTCCCAGGGAAAACATGGAACTGCTGACTTCCAGGGGACCCTGGCCTCTCCCCATTATCACTCCTTGTCACGGGGTCTCTGTTTGCCCTTGTGGTCAGGCATCGCCCATGCGTCTCCTCTTTAACTCCCCCGGCACCCCCAGAGGCCGGGGCTAGGATTGTGCCTCATGATGGCGGACAAGGAGGCTCGCAGCAGCCCTCAGCCTAGGACGCCACGGAGCTGGGTCTCGGACTCAGCCGTGTGGGACTGCACCACCGCGTGCTTTCCTGGCCCTCGTTGCCTTGCAGGGGGAGCCATCCTGGCTGCAAAGGGAAGCTGTTGAGGTTTGCATGTGGGGTGGTGAGAAGGCCAGACCGGAGAGCCGAGAAGTGGCTGGCAGATGCTCACTCTCCCGCCTCCCCTCTGCCCTGCTTCGGGGCGGCGGGCGGGGAAGGGGGGAGGTCACAATGGGAGACTGCTACCACCTTTGGCCCTGACTCCAGAGTCCCTCTCCCCGCCCCTTTCGTGACTGTCCAGCAGACACCTATGTCTTAGCGTGGAGCTGGGCCTGCTGTACGTGCTGCTGACACTGTAGGCGCACGGCCCGGCTGTCACCTACTTGATCACAGCCTGGGGAGGGGCCGAGGGTCACTTGCCAGGCCGCTCAGCTTCCTCCTAAGCAAGTTAGTTCTCAGTGATGTGTGGGCAGCCACCTGCGATGGTGTCCACGAGGCTTGGGGACTTCCGAGGAGGTCAGTCACAGCGGGGTGCAGGCTCAGCTCTGTCCTCCAGGGCCTCCTAGCTGGAGAGAGAAGACGCTCCTTCCGGTCTCCTAGGACTAGGCCTGGAGGGGACGCCTCAGGTGTCAAGAGGCAAGTGGGGATTTCACGGTTTAGGCCTCAGAGGCAGATGGAGGGTCAGGGTGGCGTGGGGGCTGGCCTGTCATTCGCGGTGAGCGCTGAGGATTCTGCGGGATTTGGACCTGGGAGAGGGAGAGAAGGGAAGGCATCGCAGGTGAAGGAAACAGCTGGGCAGGCGGCTGGCACATGGGCGCTCAGTACATATGTGTGTCATGTGAGGGGCAGGAGGAGAGGTGGGCGTGGGGAAAGGAGCGGCGGGGCATGTTCGGGGTGTGCTCCTGGCTGTGACTGAGTGAGGACCGCGGGGCCCTCCTGGGCCCGGCCAGCTCACCTGCTCCCTGCAGTGTGGATGGTGCTGGGTTTAAAGTCAGGACCTGGCCCCAGGCGACTGAATGGGACTGAGCTCTGGGCCTCTCTCTTCCCAGGATGCTTTTCCGACTGTCTCTTGGCTCAGTCACCACCTGTGGCTTCCTATTGGTCGAGGCAGAAAGGCCCGGGGTCCCCACCCTGCTGGACCCTTGTGACCTGCCTCCCAGCTTCATCTCCGTCCACCTCAGGCACCCTGTCCCCTTCTCCCCGCACTCCAGGCACCTGGTGTTAGCTGAGGTCCTTGAATGCCCACCCCCTCATCCAAGTTCCTTCACCTCTGAGGACCCTCTGTCCCCTGCCTGTCTCCTGCCGTGCTGCTCCCTTGGGTCCATCCCAGCTTCAATTCCACTTCCTCCAGGCAGCCTTCTTGGATTCCTCCAGGCGGTCTTTGACCCGCCTTTCTATGTTCTCACGGCCCCTGCTCTTGTCAGAGCAGGGCTTCTCTAATCCCTTGTGGAAGAGCATGTTTACCAGGGCTCCCCGCTGGAGGTCAGCCAGCGCCCTGGGGGTGGGGAGGGCGCACCAGCATTGCCCGCGCCCTTAGCACAGCCTGGCTGCAGCTGGCATTCAGGAGGAGTTCTGTGGGTGGACAAATAAAGGAAGGAACGTGTGCTTATAGGCAGTGGCTGGCTCCCCGGGGGGCCGGGGCCTCGGCACCTGGCCCAGTGCCTGGCACCCGTAGGCTCTGAGGGTGCTGTGCGTGCTCGGAGACCACGTTCAGGGAGCAGACCTTAGTCTCCTGGGGATGGCACTGTGACACAGCCCACCTCGAAGAAAGCATCTGGGATCGGGGTGGGCAGAGCGGGAGGCCCCTCCCTGGGGGGAGAAAACATCACAAATCCAGGAGAGAGTGCCTGCACCCGGGCCCTAGCGCTGCGCCCGCTCTCAAGGACACGGCACAGCGGCTCTTTTCTTTGTGGGCGCGTGTGGTTGTTTCGTTCTGGTGCCGTGACACCAGCACAAACCAGCACAGGCTTTGGGTGAAGGACAGGGCTGAGGTTTCCCCGAGGCCTGGCCCCGCGCCCCGCACCGAGCAGTCCCTGAAATGTGCCCGGTGCGCAGGCAGGGCTGGGTGACGTTGGCAGAGCTACAGGGGGCGGGCCAACCGGGGCTTCGCTGGGGATGCCTTCAGGGTCAGCTCTGCATCCGATGCCTTGTTTCCGGACCCCAGGGTGCCACACAGTCGGTCTCCCAGGAGGAAGCTGAGGTGACTGTCTGTGCCGGCACGTCGACACCCAGCATCTGGTTTTCCTGCTGAGCAGCCAGAGGGGCCACTCTGACCTGTTACCCTCCCAGCTGTGTGAA